GTGTGCATGCGGGGGGGGGGCGTGCAGGTGCTGTTCTTGTTGCCGTTTTTAGGAGAGCGAGTCGAACCTTTTGTCGCCTCTGGTGGTTTTAGGAGCTGTGAAAGAGGGAGATGGAAGAGTTCTGGGTCGAGGGAAAGGCATTCGCGCTGCGATTCTCTTCTGCGCTCGCAGCTGCCGAGCGAGTTGTGCTCGGGCACGCGGGGGGCTCAGCGTGCCGGGGGTTGCTCCCGTCTGCGAGTCTCCAGATGCTCGAGCAGTGTCTGCCCTTCTCTTCCTTTTTTTTTGTTTGTTTTTAACATATTTCACTACATTTTGCTTTTGTTTGATTTTCATAACTTTAATTCACGCCTTTTTTTTTTATGTTTTGTTTCTTTCAGTTAATCACACACAGACTTTCAGGCCAAGAGTGGACTTGGTGCTTTCATGTGTTAAGTTGCTTGAGTTTCCCACCCTGTGACCCTTCTCATAACATTGTGTGAGTGGACCAAAGTGAAAGAGAAAATGAGCATCTTCGGTGGTTGCAGTGTAACGCCTCGCTGTTATCTGTGCAGAGTTTATCAGCAAGTTTTTAAGGAAGTGACCTTACCACGTACATCTTGTTAATCAAAGTCAACTAATCCCTAAAGTAAGGTGTTTTGTTCTAAACCAGTGACGGAGCAGCCGTGTATAAAGTGACCATAACTGTTTGTCTGAACTCATCTTACCCACCAGCTAAATAATTGCTTTCTAGGTTGTTGGTTTTGTTTTTTTTTTATTTAATTGGCTGAGGTGACTGCTTGAGGCTCATCGCCTTCCCCTGAACATGCACAGCTGGGAGGAGTGCTATGAAGAATGCCGAAACTATTTCTTTTTCTAACAAAATGCTCAGTTTGAATACGTGTTTAAAATTGGTAGAAAACCACAATATTTAGACTTTCTGCCCTGGGAATCTTCATCAAAGTAACCCTCATTCCAGTAAATATATATTTTAATCCTGAATTACTCTAAACACTTTCTACAGCATTTATAATATATATATATATATATAAAAAAGAGAGAGAGAGTGTGGTTAATAAAATTCATGGGACAATGTTTTGAATTTTCTTTACTGCTAAAGTAGAACATTTATATAGAAAGATTTTTTTTTTTTTTTCCTAAGAGTTTGTTGTATAATGTGGAACTACAGGATTTGTGTAACTTTGCAGTTGTCATTTACCAATGTATTTTACTGTTGTGGGAGAACTATTTAAGCGCTCATCTTTACTTTTATTCTTTAACCTTAAACTTACGTGCCTAATAAGAATCCCTGAATAATCGAGCTATGCCCCGTGTTTATGCTGACAGGCCCTGTTCCCCTTAGAAGGTGCTTCCTTTAACACTCCTCATGCCTCAAAATCCCAGCCCTGTTTTCCTGGGCAACGGAGTTTAGAGGAATAATTGGGATCAATATTAGTTTTTTCCGCTCAAGCCATTCTGTGATAAGGCAGGACGATAGCTGAACAGGGACCTACTAGCTGTGTTGTCATGGAAAAATATTGGACCCAGTTCCATCCATCCGTCAGAGAACAGGTTAAAAGAAAGCAAATATTTGACATTAGCCCCCACGTAGCGTCTTTAGAGTTTATAGAAGCACTGGCTGGCTAAGTGTTAGTTGTGAGCGTGTGCATTTTTATGTAGTTCCGTACGTTACAGGATTTTTCTGATAGGTTTTTTTCCTGGAAGAATTCTCTTCGAGCTGAGCTGTCAGCAAACTCTGTGTTGGACTCGCAGGTGGAGGCGCAGGGCCTGGCGTCTGAGCCACTCTGGGGCTGCCTGAGGGTCGTGTTTTCCTGGGCTGTAAAATGAGGTTCTCTAACTTGCATATCCCGTCAAAGCAGCTCTTTTGGAATTTTGTTTCTAAATACGCGCTCAGGTGATAAACTGCTTTCGTTTGGACACTGGCCTTTTGTGTGGACAGACTGAAAATCACGCCAGTGTTACTTGACGCTTGTAAGAAAGAACCTCATGGCGATCTCGCGGGTCCCTTTACAGAACAGGCCGTTTTTCAGAGCGGAGGCGTTGTGCAGGCTTGTTGGGGCTCTGCTGGAAGCCGAACGCTTGACTTTTAAGGCTGTGCCTCCAGGTTAGACGTGTTTTAAAGAGCAGCTGCCAGACATGAGGAGGTTGATGTATTTTTCTCAGAGAAACATCCAAGGGACCCAACCTGTTGTTACCTGCAGGAAGACACCACCAGCTCACCACTGAGATCATGTCGCAGATTAGGGGCAGGATTTTGATTTTTGCTCATGAGAGAATCTCCAGTGCACTGGCGGCGCGAGCAGGCAGTGCTGTCGGGGTCGTTGTTTCGCTCCTGCAGGCCGGGATGCAGCGGTCGCTGCTGCCCTTGGGTCTGGCACCACCTGCCTCGCCAGCCCTTCTCCCGCTGATCCTTCCCTCCCAATCCCGTGCTGCAGCCGGCAGGATCTCTGCGCGTGGTCTCCGTCCGCCCTGGCTCGTCAGAAATCAGTTCTTTTTCCCCAGAGTAGCAGGTAGTTAAGAATAACGATAACAATGACGGAGTAAAAACCTTCAGATCCATGGGCATTGTGGAGAACTTTGCAGC